TGTATATCTACTCTTTTATCTTTTGCCTATTCTGATAATAACTTTAGTTTTGTTAGATTTTCTTTGATTCTATTAATATTATAAGTTGCTATATTTAATATTTGAAAGTTTTGATCTTTGTCTACTCCTTTTTCAACTTCTTTATATTTTTTTTCTCATTCTATATTGTTATCAAATGAACCTAGTATATTTTCTTAATTATTTATTATTAAATTATATTTGATATTTAGATTTATATATTAGTATTTTTTTCGAATTCTTAATAGCTAAAAATAGATTTAGGTTATACTATTTGATGTAGCTCAATTAGACCTTCAAAATGAGCTATAAATCATATCTGTAGCTTATGTAGTTCTTGAGTTACTTTAGGATTTATATTTTGAGTAATATTGATGTTTGATGATGTTTGATAATATTTGAAGACATTTGATGACATTTAACTATATTTGAGGATATTTAGAAAAAAGATATATAAACTCTAGCTTTTTCTCTCTCTTGTAAAATAGTTCTGTAGTTCCTTACAGTTCTTTAATATAGTTATGACTAGTTTTGACTAGTTCTGACATTCTTTAGTTAGTAATCAATAAGTTCTGTAGTCCTTTACAGTTCTCTAATAAAGTTCTCTATTAATTCTTTAATAAAGTATACCTTGGTCTTGTCCAAAATGCTTCCTTTAAATGAACTGCTATAGTGATGTAATATTCTACTTTAATACTATTAGAAGTCATCTTTCTGTGTCTTATGTTACTTGTAATGTATTGAGAAGGCTATATTACTTGTAACAATATTTCTGTATGCTTTATAGTTTGATTTTCCTTTTGCCCTTTCTTGCTTTCTAAGTTTTTTTTCTTGTAAAGTTTGGGTTCTCTGTAGTTCAACTAGTATAATAGTTTAAAAGCAATTTGGGATCTTGTAGTCCTAAAAGCTATCTTCTTGTTTATATTTATAGTCATCTTTTTCTGCAATTGCAATTAGATTTTCAAGTATTTCTCTTATACTTACTCTTTTATTCTTTTTATATAGACAATCTTCTTTATTTCTTGAGAATACTTTGTTTTTTCTTTTGTAACTAATTACTTTATTCTATTCTTTTTTTTTTTCTGTTTCTAGATCTTTGTTTGTTATATAATCTTTTTTACTATTTCAGGTTCTTTTCTGAATATATTTAGAGCATTCTCTTCTTTGCTTTTGATCAATTTCTTTTCTTTTTTTAAGGCTTTTTATACTTCTTATTTCATTATTATTCATAATTTTCTTTTGTATTTCTTGTAGTTCTTTATCTTGAATATTTCTAGTTCTGCTTGCTAACTATAATAACTTATTATTATAATAGTAAACTATATATCTTGTACTGTTTAACATATCTTCTTCATTTTTGAAGTATACTATTGCACTTCTTCTATTATTATTATTAGTATTTTTGAAAATATACAAGGCTTTAGCACCTGTTTATTTAACTTGTTATTTAAAAAGAACCTCGTTTGTATTTTCTAGTAGGTCTGTTATTCTTCTAGTATATCTGTTATATTGTTTAAGTCTATTACTATTATTTTTCTCTATGAGGATTCTCATTATATAATTCTCTTCAAAAGATAAGTACTATAGATTTTCTAATACTTCTAAGTTAATAGTATCTAAGATAAAGTTAATTTTAGCTTTTGTTTTATTATTCTTTAATCTGTAGGCTATTTTTAAGCAAATTTGCTTAGAAAATTTGTTTTTTTTTTTTTTTTTTTTTTTTTTTTTAATTAAAGTAGCTTACTTTGCTGAGCGGATTTTATTAGTTTAATATATAAGGTCATCTGTTGACAATCCCCTATAGTTTGTAATTACATGAAGAGTGTACAATCTACTACATGTATAACTTTAGTTATTGTCTAATTTAAGTAGTCTGCCATACAGGTAGATCACCTGTTTAGTTCTACACAAGCTGCTATACCTGTAACCTGCTTATGAGTTACCTATTTAAATACTCTGTTCACTTAATCAATACTAGAATCAACTAATATTACTGTAATATCTAACTGCTTAAGCTAGCTAGCTCATTGCAGATCTATTTACCTAACTTAGCTTAAGTCTTCTCAGGATGCGTATTGCTCAACATATTGTAGTACGCAGAGCTCTTTTAACCTCATAAGCAATCTTACTAGAGCGGTCCATGCCTATTTCACGAATTCACCTAGCTTAGACCCTTGCAGATATTCATACAACTCTAGTTCCTACTGTAGCTCTCCACCAGTTTTCTGTATCTATTTTCTCAGATGTTTTACAAAGCAGATCCTCCTAATCCAGTTAGCTACCAAGCTAAGTTGATGTTACCAATTCTCCCTGTGGAATGGATTTATGTACACCTAACTCGATCAGCATCTTTGATGATAGTTTCTTTTCTGGATCAAGTGTTAGCCAGTGTGACTATCAAAAGCTGTACTACTTCACTAACTCGGAATTTCTACCATGCAGGTCTTTTACCTATAGATTTTATCAAGATTTATTCATGTAATGTTATACTCTCCAAACATTCCATCATACTTCCAATATCTGAATGATATTGATGCAATGTGATTTACAGGGTTACAACCCCAGAAACAGACAGGGTTTACTGTAAGTTGGATACAAAGGTCTGAGTAATTATTCAAATTCATCAACAGTGGGATTTGAACCTCAGACCTCTTACATGGCGGTCTGACAACCTAACCACTACACTAAGATCACTGGACCTTAAATATAGAATATTAAAAATTTATTATATTTTAATTTAAATTAATTTTTTTTAATTTAATTACTATATATAATTATTATTATAGCTTATTAAAAATTTTAATTTTTTTTCTTTTAACAGTTATGCTTTATATATTTATTAGATAAAGAGTTTATTAATAGCTAGTCTATATAAGATTTAACTTAAACAAGAATCTATAGTTCCTCTCTATAGATCTAATTTTTTAATAGAAAGTATCACTTAATACTCTATTTGCATATATATCTAAATATAACCTATTATACTAAAAATCTCCTTAACAGAAAGAAAAAGAAAAGTTTAGACAATTTTGTCTAACTATTGTTAGGTTGCTTCTACTTCTTTAAAGATATTAACTAACTAGAGAGACTAATAATAAAGAATACTTTGTATAATATCTTTTGTTACTATATTTTGTCAAAATCTTTAGAGTGTTTTTGTAAAACTTAATAAAGAAGATTTAAAGTAATTTGTAATTATGAAAGAGGCAATAATTAAAGATATATGAAGATATTAATAAATATTTATTTCAAAGTATTAGAAAGATATTTTTATTATGAAAAAGTATAAAGACCTAATAATAAAATTAAGATCTACATATGCTGTTTTTATACTTTACAAAATATTAGAAATATAATAGACTATATATATTATAAAAACTATATACTACAACTATCACTAATAAAATATATAATATAATTAATATATATATGAAATATATAATAAATAGTATATATGTTATATATATAATAAATAATAAAAGTATCTCAAAAACTATAGATAATAAATATATTATATGTAATAAATCTTCTGCAGTAATTATCAGCTAATCAGATTATATACTTATTGCAAAAAGGCTAAAACATGATTATCTTAAGATTTAGTAATTAGATTTTAATAATTTTTAGCTTATTAGATTTGCCTCAGTAAGCTGATTCTAATAGTATATGTTTTATTCAAATTGAACTAGTAGATTAAAAGTTATTAAAGATTTTGTGTTTTTTCTTAATATTTCATAGGTCAATACTGTTTAGAAAAACAGATATTGATAAAAGTATAAAATTGTTATATACAGTGAAAAGCAAGACTATTGTGATTAGATGATCTTTATCTCTTGATACTCAATAACACTAATCTACTGGATCTATAGGCAGCTTAGTCAATTGAAGCATGTTAGATTTGGCGAGTGAATTGGATGTCTGTAGGTAAGCCTTCTTTTTGTTACTTGTCTTAGGTTTCTTCTGTACCTATTCTTTATAATTCTATTTTTAATTACCATACTACTTTGAGTAATTGGATCAATGATACAACTACAACTATTACACTAATTCAGATAGTTGGAAATGAATTAAACTATAGCTGATCCTAGTATGTTAGAATACAATAGCCAAACAGAGTTTCACTATATTGGAGGGAGGGGGGTTATTTAATATATCTCAAGTTTATGTAGTTAGGGGTTTTAGCGAATTTATAGTTTATATATTAGGGTCTTAGGTTTTATAAAGTAAAGGAGACATTTGATATTATCTCAAAGGGCCAACATGGCCTTTATTTATAATACAATTCTTTATTTACATTCAGAGGCTACATTGCTATTATTCTCTATGTAGTCTATATAAGTTATAATGTCTATATTATTTCTATTCTTCTTAATGCTTATATCCTCTACATATCCCTTCTGGTCTTTATCGCTCCTGTGACCAAAGTAGCCAGTATTGCTAATGTTGCTAATATTTCTCAGGTAACCTTAATTTGAATTTACTGAAGTCACCTAACAATTAATTTACAGGGAGAGGGGAGGAGAAGGGAACCTAACCTGGTCACATTATGGGTTTCATATTCTTCTCTGCTTAGTTTATATGTACAATGTATAAATTACTGAGTAAGCACAGAAATTAAACTATGACATAGCAATAGACAAAGCCTTATAAACAAATTTGATAACTTTCTTCTCTTAAACTTTATTATATAAGATCTATAAAGACTTTAGATATTTCAACTTTAATGAATTTTTCGTAGTAGAGTTCTATCCTGAATCAGTTTCATAGAATAAGTATTCTTTACTTTCTTTGTCTTTTCATTCTTGTTTGTCTTTACTAATTTCTTTATTCTGATTCTTATCTTTAGGTTCTTTTTCATCATCTTCTTCTTTTCTTGGTAGTAGTTCTGGTTTGATAGGTATTGATATTTCTTCAGAGATTTCTTTTCAGTCTAATTCATTATTTGTCTTATTTTTATCACCATTTTCAGCTGAGTTCAAATGCTATTTAAATGCCTTCTTTTTATTCACCCCCTCAGTATTGATTCTTTGGACTATTATATTTGTATATCTTAGTATCTTGCATTTATCGACAGCAACTCTAATTTCTTTTTCAACTCCAATTATTATTTTTACTCTTCCCATGTTTGTTTCTTTTGTAAGTCTTCTAAGTTTGGCTTCAGTTTTTAATATTTCTTCTTTTTTTTGCTTCATTATAAATAGTTCTTCTGTTTTAGTCTTCAGTTTTGATATAGAAAGTTTTTCGAGTTTAGGTAGATACGACCTTTTTATCTTCAGTACTTTCTAGTTCATCCTTATAAAGTCTCTTACTTTGTTTATCTAATTATCACAGGTATGGTCTAGATCTTGTTTCTTTAATCTTCTTACGTTCTCATTATTACCTTCAGAGATCATTTTATTATTATTATTATTAGATTCTAATTTTTCTTCAGCAGTCTTAAAAAGCCTTCTAAACACTTCATTTTCACCTTTAATTTTATTATTTTCATCCTTTTTAACTTCGATTCCTTTTTTATAATGAGATCTAACTATATATATCTGATTTAGTTGACTTGTCTCTGCAGCTTTTGGATAATAAATAGATGCTTTGAATTCATTCGATTTAGCAGGTTTTGGTTCTTCAGATTTATTTGGTTTATGCATCCAGATCCTTAGCGTTTCTAAGTAACTATTAATTAACTTTTCTAATGCTATTATAGCATCTAATTCAATATCTTGTTTTTGTTTTAGATCTTTTCTTTCATTATCATCGCCTGATATTTCTTGAACATTATAGTAGGCATCAAGAATTTCGGATACTGTTACTTTCTTATACTTATTTTTTTTAGGCTCTTTATTTTGAAAAGTTAAACTAAGGCGAATATTTATATACGAGGGTAAGTATATACTGTTTAATTGTTTATTTTTGTACCTAACTTAGTTATCAGATAGTCTTTTTTTTACAGGATTATTTCTCAGCAATTTTTCTGTTCCTACGAGTTCATCTATTAACCTATTTATTAGGCATTCCTTTTTTATTAAATTTGTTTCTTTTTGTAGGATGATATACTTTTTGAATAGTCTTGAATCTTCATAAATTATTTTTAGTATGAGTTTATTCAATATATCCTCTTTATATCTATGCTTATCCTTGAATAGAGTTCCATATCTTACTTGTTTTTGCCAACTGTTACTGTTATTTAATGTATTTTTCATATCTCACTTTATTATTTTCTCTTTTAATATAGTGATATTTTGAGTTTACTGTTCTATTTCACAGTTATCACCAAATGTGATTAGATGATCCTTATTTTTTAATACTCAATAACACAAATTTACTGGACCTATAGGTGGCTTAGTCAATTGAGGCGTGTTTGATTTGGCGAGTAGATTAGATGTCCGTAGGTAAGCTTTTTTTTGTTACTTGTCTTGGGTTTTTTCTGTATCTATTCTTTATAATTCTATTCTCAATTACCACACTACTTCGAGTAATTAGAGCAATAATACAACTACAACTATCATACTACTTCAGATAGTTAGAAATGAATTAAACTATAGCTGATTCTGATATGTTAGGATACAAAAGCTGAATAGGGTTTCACTATATCAGAGGGGAAAAGAGGTTATTTAATATATCTCAAATTTATGTAGTTAGGAGTTTTAGTGAATTTATAGTTTATATGTTAGGGTATTAGGTTTTATAAAGTAAAGGAGACATTCGATATTGTCTCAAAAGGCTAACACAGCCTTTATTTATAATATAATTCTTTATTTATATTTAGAGACTATATTGCTATTATTCTCTATGTAGTCTATATGAGTTATAATGCCTATATTATTTCTATTCTCCTTAATGTTTATATCCT